TGATGCGTGGGTCAGTGCTAACCACTTGTCCGTATTCTTTCTTATCTCTCGCATTGTCGTTACGTCCAAACGATTCGGGTCATTTCAGCTTTGTCCGATAAATCCGCCGACCCGCAGCCACGCTTCAGCTCAACGTTGTTTTCGAATAACTCCAACGCTGTTTGGGTACATCTCGCACCGTCATCAATGATCCCAAAACACGCTATGCCGTATGTGTGGTCATTTCAATCGCGTTGCATTACGGCGTGTTGTCGTCAGCCGCACTGCCGTTATCTAGTTTGGTCAGTTCAAAGTAGCAAACGAGAGAAACATAGACGTACGTTTAAGTGGGAGCAGAAAAGGACACCAAGAGCGCCCGATGGTATTTAGTCCAATAATTTTACGCGCACTTCTGCTAACTGTTCTGCTATTTCTAATTAGTGCCATCGTGTCCAAAAAGAATGATATATATACTGGCCGGCATTGCGTTATGCATATACCCCATATTGGCCGTCCACTGCTTCAGCAGCAGCAGCGACGGCTAAAACAATTGAAACAAGGTCACGAGTTAGACCTGCCTAAACTCGAACTGCAATGTTTTTCTATTTGAAGTGATCGACGCGATCATTTCAGCAGCAACAGGCGCAACCAACAGAGCTGCAACCAACTACGTTGTTTTCTTAAGTAAGTTACGTATCGCACCATGAATTTTTATATAATGATATAGCATACGTTCGATTAGAGCAAATCCTATGTGCTGGTTTCTGTCGTTACACGCAGAGCCGGTTGTAGTCTGTTCAGTGATACCCCATCATTTTAGTAGCCCATGCTACTATACCAATGACCCTATTCGATAACTCGAGCGAAAATTGGCTAAAGGTGAGCGAAAGAAAAAAAAAAACTAGATTATGAAACTTTACTTTTTTTCATCTAAAAATAAAAAACAATAATGCAGTTGTGAGTCATCCGGTGTTCCCGTGATTCCTCAGAGACCTCTAAAATGAGAGGCCAACCATAGTCGTAATGGTATGTTCCAGATTCCCCGAACAATCGATGGATGAAACATATTGCCGTAATCAAGTGAACGCTAAAATCGTTCTCTATATTACGATCTTGAATGACAAAATTGTTTTTACTATGAGAAGAACAAATACGGTCTCCGTGATCCGCGATAAATGCGGTTTATAAAATAGGTTACAACTTGGACAGTTGAACGGAAGCGTATGCTACGATAGCCAAGCGAGTACTCCACAAAACAAGAAGCGTCAGATAGCTATCTGCGGAGAGCAGGAGTTTGATCATTGGATACAAGCTGATTTACTCATAACGTCGTGAAAGATTTCATTTTTACGGACATAATAATGACAACGCCGGCTTGTTCCGATTTAGATAATTTTCTTCCCCAGATAAAAAAAAAAGACTAGTGAAGGAGCTCTTAATCGAATTAATGGCGTCCACAAAAGCGGCCAAACCTACCGCCGCTAACGATAACGATACTGATAACTCAAAAAAAATTCGGCGAAGTAAACTTCCTAGAGAATATGATGTTTTTGTAAATATTAAGCTGCTAGGAACAGAAACTGTGCGTGGAGCATACGTATAGATGGTAATCCCTTCATGACCAACCCAGACTATTCGATTAGATATATTGATGAAAAAATCTCAACAAATTATGTATTTTTTAGACAAAGTCTTCCGTGTGGAAAATTCGTGTCTTCCGCGTAATTCTGTATACTGCACTGATATATAAAAAATTATACCAGACTATTTTCAAACAATAGGTTTGTGACAACATCACGATCTATCAATTAAAGATTTTTTATTAAATAAAGGCTTAGTTCTATGGTTGAGACCAATTAATATATCAAAATAATAAAATTAACGTTCTGACCACATATATGCAGGACTACTACGCAAACTAAGTACGGGCGGAAGCGAAGAACCAACGTATAATCTCAAAATTAGACGTTGAATGAAGCAATTTTTCTGACTAAATACCTTGGTTTTTGCTTGCACAAATAATCCTCACACGAGTCTTACCGACCGTCTGTTTGTGACCGTTATATCGCGAAGAGTGTTGACACGGATATCAAAGACCAAGAGTCACAAGAATGGCAGCTCTAACAACAATATAAATATAGAAGAATAGCGGTCCATTTCTTACTAATTTCTGTGCGGCGAGAAGACGTCTTTCTGTATGTTCTCATGAGTTCTTAATGCTGAATATATAAGCAGTCTTCGAAGACGCGTATTTTAGTCCTGACCGCATGGTCGCTTTTATTAGCGTCTAAGATCTGGCCTTATCTACTATAATCTGTTTTTCTTTGCATTATTATTATTATTTAGATGGTAAAAGAAACAGATGTGGAATACAGCTTTTACGAATAGAAAATCGGTTACTACTTGCCTAGTTATCAAAACACAGTCAAAACGCGCATGATCTCTCAGTAAAGATGGCCGATGGCACCCGAACTACACGTTTTCCAAATCTCAACCAAATTAAGTCAATAATAATAATAATAATATAGTGTTTAATCGAGATGTAGAGCAAGTATTTTTTTACGATTTGCCATTAACCCAGAAACCCATGCTTGTGCTAGTCTACACCATATCCCACATAGGTGCTCCAAAATTTACTCCATGCTAAACTCATACAAGTAACATGTTATGCGCCATTAGTATCAACACAAATCTTAAAATGTTACGCAGTACTCTATGCACATATTTTGATGCACAGAAAAAGCAGTATCCACAATTTTTCTAGCGTGTATCAATGACTATTGACGGTCCGCTCTCAGCTTCGAAATAGCCTATATATCCGTACGCTGGTCAACAAGTTCATAACACAACTATAATCAGCTGTGTTTTTGAAGCATTACTTTAAACCATTGGCCCGTGTTGTGTTATTCACGTCTGACCATCTTTTTCTATCTCATTCCATCGTCGGCCATCTGAAAGAGCTCATTTGCGCACCACGGCTTGCCGTTCGGACCGGTTCGTTTCTAGCGAAAACAGCTGGCCCGATCGCCCCCCAGCCGTCGCGTCCTTTTCGCCAGCTTCGATGGTATCGAGGTCAAGCCTTGCTTTAATACTACCAGCACATCAGTACCAACCAGTCCGACGCGATACGTGCATCACAATAGCGTTTGTGGCATACTAAAATGCGCAGGTTACCACGTGCTTGCCGCAGTAGAAATGGCTGTTATCGCGACAAATTTACTCCCAGCGACTGGACTGGGGATGGAATAGCGTCAATGGATAAATATGTATGTCTATTTTATTACTACTAACAAACATACTTTTACTATTCGAGCTGGCAAGTTATCCATCAATTACTCGAGTAATGATTGTAGAGTTGAGATTGATGGCGGCTTGCTTGTCAGGTGTTTTCTCATGGTGGTAGTTAAGGAAATGGACTGCAGACAATAGTACTCTTCACGGAATGGAAACCTTGAACCTGGAAACCGACTTATGGTAGAACGAAACCATTAACAACGCCTATATAACGACCTCAAACTTGTTTGGCGTATAGCTCTTTTGGATACGGTAAGCTTCTAAATAGTAACATGTCGAACGAACTACAATTGTAACCTCTAACAGAGTAGAACTGTATTGAAATGGAAGCTTCCCGACTCTAAATGCAAGCTTCAGTTTTCAGAACAAAATATGCCAACGTACTCTAGCTTTTTTTTTGTCTTAGAATTAACACTACGCTTCAGTATTATCATTTGCTTCTATTTTAATTAATCATTGGTAAAGCTAGGCCATGGAGGTGATCGGAACAAAAATAGGTCATAATTAGATCATGATAAAAGCGGTAAATTATTCAGATTTAGAAGTAATCAGAAAGCTTCCGTCGAACCCTCGACAAGAAGCCTGCGGGGGAATTTTTTGTCGGTGCACTTTCTGTAGGTCACAGCCGGTGGCGGAACATTAGCGCTAAAGGCCTAGTTTGTAATTATTAATAAAACACGCTGCCAATAAGGACCCGGTTTTGCTGTCTTCAATCAACTATTGGCATCTATGCGCCATATAACAGTTATAGCTCTTTAAATATATACACGCAGTAGTTTGTTGTCGTTATTTGATTATCCTTATTATCTTCACTTTCCTAACATATTAATACAATCCCTTGCTCCATTCTAACTTAGTTTGAAGTACTTAAACTTTAAAGGCTTTATGGTTAACGTATTTAGCACACAACGGACTTTCCAAATACCCAAAACATTTTCCCGGTTTCAAAATCGGTTCCAAATCTGATCTTCCACATGAATTAACATATCAATGAAAACAAGTATACTATTGTTATTATAATCGTTCTTTTTTTTGATTCAGTCAAATCAATTTAACGCATAATCGACACAGATGTTATCTATATATTATTAGATCTTCTTCGAATGCTTTCCGACAGAAAGCACATTCTATAACCCGAAATCTGTGTTTTCCGGGTTAGTGGAGATCCAGCGCATATGACGCATGTGGAGAATGGTATAGAACATAAGTGTTTATCGTATGAATGCACAGATCCGTACGTAAGTAACAACTAGTGCATGCCAACGATCAGACGGCACAGATTACTGACGTTGGCCAGATCTTGCCTTCTGATCCGAATGCATGGACCCACTTCCGTGCCGTAGTCTACGGTCGACCGTTACTTCCTACGTCGAGCGTAACGGTACTGCCAACATTACATGTGAACCGGATGTTTGGGTGAGCGATGAAAATGAGAGTCCTGGTAACCGGCGGAGAATTATGTAACCCGTGTATAATGCATGTCAAATCGATCACAGTCAGTTTTTATTAAGTAGCTAAAAATTATTCAAGGAAGTTTAGTGAAAAGTTAGCACTAATTGATGAAGTAGCTGTATGAAATTACATGTGATCAACTAATAGTACTTTCTCCAAGGAAAAGATCGAAAAATTTCAGGAGCAACTTGGCAACACTCGTTTATGTGTTTAGCAATATAGTTTAACTACCATCGATAGTTTTCCAATTTGTATAAAAGCCTAATTGGCCCTACCTTGAATTAAGACGAACTTCGCCTCAGACGAAAACTATTGCTCTGTGAAAGGTCAAGATCGTTGCGCAGATGCTTGCTCCCATGCTACGTCATAACCGGCAAAGTAAGATGGTCCCGTCAGAAAAAGTTAACTCCTGCTCTTTGTATGATCGTCCTGGTTAACGGGTGCGTAGATTGTATAGGATATAAGAGAAAAGAAAGAACAAGTATCAAGCCGGTTTTTTTTCATATGGTTATCACCAACAGTTATTGCGAGAGTGGCTATGTATGCAGTTTTGTGGAATATTAAGAAAAGATTCCGTCTCGTTCGTTCCTACATGCTCATTGCCACCAGCGAGCGTGCCCCAGGGGGGCAATGGCCGTACAGGTGAGCCAGTGATGGCTGTGTCACAGTCATCGTTGACGCACCTATTCATCAGTTAACGTGATGCATTGTTTCTTGTTTTAGGTCATTAAAGGAAGGCAGTGACTACTCAAAGGGTGCCTATGCTATTGCTTAAATGCAATTGGTGCGCAGGGAAGCAAGTCTAGCGGAATGTGTCCTAAAACAAGCAGCCTATTCCTATGAGTATACAACTATATATGCTAGTACGTCTAACATAGAAGCTCTGTCCGTTTTCCCAAGCTACTTGCAGAAATTCAATTACAAAATGTCGTTTCGCTAACCTGTAGTGAATTGGTGGAAATCATTCGCCCTAGAACGTACGCGATTTTTGATGACCCATAATTTAACGAAACGCCATAATCGACCGGAGGATTTTAGATATACATATATATATATATATATAACTTTTTAAGACATGCGCAATTATCGTTAAATACAGGTTGAACACATGTATCGTTGATAGATCGTATCATACAGAAGATTACTAAACGAACAGCTTACCAATTAAAGCTTACACGGAAACCTTCTCTGCGATGGAAAAAACTTTTAGAATAGAATTTATTAGATCAGTGGATATGAGAGGTGAGTAAAGAAGCATTGAATTTAGTACTGAGTGGCGTTTTTGCCCACATATATTCTCATATAAATAGTAAATAAAATTTAATCAAGCTTGATCACACACTATGCGCCCTATTTTTTTCGCTTTACGGGATCGTTTCATAAATGTTAAACCACTAAATTCTTGCTATTTGCCAAGCGCCCATGCGTTTTTCTGGCTATACCAGAAATTTTGTAAGCCTATTCATTCTGATTGTGGTACGTAACGCCTAAACGATACTGCTCGGTGTGAGTCTACGCTCTTTGAAATCACTTAGAACCATGGCTTTTCGAATAAAAAATGTAATCAGTTTAATAAGTAGAATATTTGTATTTGGTATGACGCGGTTCTGACCTTTAACAAGGTGTTATTTAGGAAAAGCACTAACATAGACATCGTATTTATTCCCTTAATTCCAAAACATATGCACAAATAATAGTTACAGGCTTTAGCTATATGGTCGTTCTTCCTAGGTGATCCTAACTCCGTCTCGGCAAAAAAATTAAATGCGATTTCCTATAAAATTACATTGCCTCTATCAGGTTTCACCTTATGTGCTGAATGTCACGGCCGGGCTTGAACATATGACCCTCAACTTCCTTAGCTAGCAACAAAAGGGTAACCTCCTAAGCCACCCTGATGCCATTCTAAAATTTCTTATAAACTCCAAAGCCAATAAATACCGATACCAATTACCTAACGGCCTAGTAAGCTGGATCCTTGTCGGGTACAAGACTGGGGTACTCACCACTGCCTTAAGAGCTACAGAAGTCCAATGATTGTTCCTCTTGTCCTTCGTAGAACGACCGTAATCTTCCCTCAGTTGCAAGGAACACGAAAAGACACAAACTGTTTGATTCGAGTCCCTAGTTTTTTGTGCATGTGCCCACGCGCACAAAACTTTAATGATAAAATCGTGTAATCGGTATTGGTCAATCACTTTCGTCACTTTCGCAGAATGTTACATTCGTATTTACGCACGTTACGTTAGCAAAGTTACACAAGGCAACGAAGGTCCTTAAGTCAGTTCATATATCGATTTATAAATTGGGATTTACACTTCTTAATAATAGTAGTATTTAAGCATCTTGCACGGACTCCTGTCTTAAGTTTCATTGTAATAGCATCTGGACTATTAAAATTGCGTCGATTTTTAGTCACACATAAGTGTGATCCGTTAAGCTTTCGTATAGCAAAATCTGTGCGTATTACGTCTATTTCATATTATTACTCATACTGCTGCGTCTGTTGAGAGCGGCAGCGAACTGCAGTGGCAGGCGATCGCATCTATCGCGCGGAGTCACTGTCACAGGCGGACTTTTCTTCCGGCGTGGCCCTTCCGCTCGACTGATGAGCGTCCACTACGATATAGGCTTGACGATCTATACCGCCATCTGCCGCTGGCAGCACATTATAATAGTCCTCAGATAGACGACGAATAGAGGAACGTGATGCAGTCTTCTACACGCGGTTCGGTGTTTGGATCTTCTGGATGAAACAAAATACAATATTCCCCATAGTTGGTCCCTTCTCCCCCGGGGGGCCCTTTCCCTTCTTGTTATGCAGATCAGCTCGGACAACTCGACAGCTATGAAGCAGCTGCGGCAAACACACACGTGCAGGCCGAACAGGACGGAGGAGAAGATCGGAAAGCTTAAAGCAAGACCACCGACCCGCGGTCAGTTGTAGCTCATGGTCGGCGTTCTACTCGCTGTTACTGTTAATCGAGAAACGCCGCGGAAAATGGATCCACGTTGACGACTCGTCGCCGACGTTCGCTGCCGTATAGCCAGCAGTCGGCAACGGAGACGGCTCTAATACAGACAAGACAGGACAAGTATACAATGACGGCCGGATGCAGTCAAGTACTACGCGTTGATATGAAGCTCCTACTTATTGCTACTGGCAAGAGCTGGTAGCGTAACTAGTGCTACTGCTAACGTTATCTGTAACACAGATAACTTCGACTATTGTATCTATGGTGAAGAGCAAGTCGACGCATTTCCACATGTCCCTGGCAAGGTTCAGACACTCGAGAAAGGCGGAACGAGCAAGCGACAAAACTGCTCGGCGGCAAACATACATAGGATACATAAAATGAATAGAACTGCATTGTATGTTACGGCTCACTAACGACGCTACCAGGTCCGAATCCAGTAAGAGCGTCTTAACTCCGGACCCAAAATTGCGTCCTTCGGAATCTGGTCGACCGCTACTGTTTCGGATCTAAACGCCTAAATGACTGATTGCAGTAGTGGCATTGCAGCCTATGACTAAGTCAAACTCACAAATCTTCTGTAGAAGGACTATGAAGCAAATGAAAAGTGACGTGAGTGCGAGATGTTACATATCCGATTTGCCGCGCTTCAAACTCAATGGAAATAATAATAATAACAGCTTCAGTGAAGTCCTCATACGTTTAAACAATCGTTCCTATTTATTCCGCCTATGTAAATAGATAACAACGACGAGGAACGTCGCCAATGACATTGAACTATGTAGGCCGTGCTTCATTTCCCGTTACTTGTGGTACCCGTATGTTAGACTTAGCCAAGCGGCGAAGCGCGCTGCATTCGTTGACCAATTTGACAATAGCAAGGCGTAGCCTGTATTCAAGATGTTGCTTTAAACCTAAATTTTTAGAATTCAAATGACGAGCTGCCGGCATGGTGCCGCATCGTCCCTCTGTTACCAGTAACAATCGGCGAAGGTAGTTCGCACTGGAGTGCGGCCGCTGCGAGCTTCAGATAGATTACGGCTTGTAACAGATCTTATTCCATAGCAAGGGAACAAACTAAAACTCAATATGGAATGTGTTTCTTTTTTTTGACTAATTAAGGTCGCCCTGTGGCCCTATACTCTAGCTGTATAAAATACGATCGAATCAAGGACACAGCGGAAGATTCTTCGTGATTCAGTCCATCGAAAACCTATGTCTTACGCATAAGCCAAGTGAACAATTTTTAAATACCGAGCTCTTCAGATCACGAACCACACTCCTAACGCACATACGGTTTCCAGCTAGCATACTACCTACCCATTATATTAGCGCTACCAAATTAGCTGGCGATATTAACAGCTGTAAAAGCTTCAGGACCAGTCGGCTGCTGGTTAGAGGTTCAGTTGCTAATTAATGTATCACTAAACAGAGAAATCAATAATGTGCCGATAAGAAAGTTACAACACAGAACTTGTATTTGCCATTTGCTAAACCTAAAACCTTTAAACGGCCGATGCTTTTATAATTCGATAACTGTCAAAGCTCCATAGGGGCATGACATACCTGGCGGTCAACAGTAACTTTACGAGCAGTTTACGCTAAAGCACGTGACAATTCAATGAGCTACTTGGCGCTAGATCGAAGTAGTTGAAACTAGGGCATTTTGGGTGTAGTATCTTTTCGATGCCACCGCCTCCGATATGGGACATAATACATATAAAAAGGGAGCTAAGTAAAAAGGTTACCTAGACGATGATTTACCAAAAATAATATATGCCATCTATCAGCAAATAGTGTTCAGCATGGTTATTATCCAGTTTACTCAGTCAGAAGTTCGCAAAGCGCCAGCAAATATCTTGAAGGGAATTAGAAACTAAGTGTTTCCGGACAACAAATCGACTATTTTACCGTATGTTTCTATAGAATTGACTTTTTTTTATCTGCAGTGAAAAAAAAACCCTGTTTGATCAAATGTAATCATAATAATAAAATTATATACGCAACGTTCTATATAAACCGATTATTTACTTAACTCTAAAGCCAATTCAAAAAAAATATTTAGCATAGTTGACTGATAAGCAAGGCGAACCGTATGGCATGTCCTGCAGTAGTTGTATCGGTGTTTCTTAGACGAATATAATAAACGTGTTCAGTTAAATAAAAATATTAATGAGAGCAAATTTTCTCTTTAGTCCGTGTGGAAAATTAGGACATGTTACCTTCCTAATGAACACACCCTATCGACGATTCTCAGTGTTCTATTGCTAAGCATCCAGATGTCTACATGCAATCTGCTAAAGGTTTGCAACACTGCTCTGGTCGCACCTCTACATGCACCAGATAACATAAGTTACTAATGGCGTTCAGCTGATAACTTTCGCAGTGACATGGCACAGAAATGTAACAATCTTTGAGATTGTATTTATATTAGAAATTTCCGCTTTTGAACCCACAGGATTTTTGTTCTACTCGTCAACAATCATCAGAAGTAATTATTATACAGACGAGAGCGCACTCTATGTCTAGAACCGCCTTATTTTACAAACAGACGAGGCAGGCAAATTGCCAAATAAAATAGCCCAGACTGAACTATAGTAGCTTAATATTATCGTCACACTGGTACAGTTACTTACGGAATCTATAAACCACACCCCTCATTTGCGACGTTATTCAATTGTCGTATGAATGGATAAAAACGTATTTGATTTGGTTGCCTATGGTTCGGCCGCATCGAAGTAGGTTTTGAGCCTCACATAAAACTACTGCTCGAAGACCTGAACTGCCTCTATTCTGGTTAGTTTCCTCACGAATCATACAAGAGCAAACTGAAGGGATCTGTTATAGCTTCTCGAAACATCGAATCAACTGCGACATCCGGTACTTTGGCCGGGAAAATGTAGTAAAACGATTGTACAACAATTCATGTCAGGGATAAAAACTATGAGACTAAAATATAATTGTAACAGCACTATAAACGGTGACCAGTGAATGCTTATAGGAAATAGTAGCGATCAGTCTTCTTGGTATTGTGATTCTATAAGCTGCTAGCCCGCCTATACTTTTTACTGGGACTAGCGCCTCTCTGCATTAGCATTTTTACGAAGCGCCTGTTATACTAAATAGAATATATTACCAATGGATACGTATTGTTATGTTTAAATACGTCCTGGCTATGACACAAAGTATACCTAAACTTTTTATGTGTGCTATTTGTATAAAAGTCATTCATTCACACTGTAGATTTCGTTCCGGCGCGAGCAAACATAAACTTATCGATGTAAAGGTTCAAGGGCTTGATGTTATCCAAATGAAATAAGGACGACAAATCCTACTTAACGCAACACAGTAAACAGGTATATGACGTACCAGCCGTATCGTACAAATAGCGATTTCAATACTCGGAATATAAGCTCGTCCTCAATAATGCTATTTTATCCTATATTCTTACAGACTTCGAACGTTAATTTTTCAAATTTAAGTTTCAATAAAATCGTGTAGTCATCATATTTTTTTATTTTCTAATTTGAGCTAGTACTTGACACCTGCATCCGTAGAAGGCGTAGACGTCGTTGCTAATAAGGTACCTCCATTCATTGCACACATTTTTAGCGGCCACGAAAGATAACCATACTTCTTTCGAAGGGCATAATTTCTTGTCATCGATGTCCATGCTGCAAACCAGTTTAGAAACAGACGATGATCCTGGTCGGCTAATTAAGCCTTCCGTCGATTCTGGCTCCTTCATGTTTTCAACGCCATTCGACTTCAGCGCGGCTGTCATATTTTCCCGAAACTCGATCATTGCTGTCGCAGCGATTTCCCTCAAAGATTTGGAATTAGTATGAAATTGTTTAAATCAGTTGGAAAAAGAAGATTTTCATTACGTCTTATAGGAAACAAAAGCTCTTCCTAGAGAGACGCCTTACTGTAGAAGTAGTCGCTATTGTATAGTTTATTTTTCAAGTCTTTGTTACTCTTTTAGATCTATGGGCCAAATAAGCTGCAACGCATTTTGATACTGCATACAATATGTACGAAATAACGGTTGCCCTTTATGAGCGCATCTTTAGAGCACGCCATTTTGCGCAACCAGAGTCTGACTGAACCATTCGAATGAACTAGATTATCTTAGATTGGGGCATGTAGTGAAATGTTTATAATTATCACAGGCCAATCGTTTCAGAATATAGCTACCTAACCTGAGGGCCACAAAACTCAGTGACTGGTTCGATGAGAACAGATGCTAGATTTTATAGTAGGCCTTTTTCCTAATGCTAGCTATTCGACAATTCCCGCTTTCTTGAAACGCGTCACGTCGCCAAAGATTATTATGCTAACAACCCTAAGGTAAAAATTTACTCTAATTGACACACGGTCAACATATGAGACAAACATTAGGCTGCCACGGTTATCTAATCTCAAACAAAGGTCGGAAACTAAAAATGCTAAATTTACTAGAATATATATTTTATCAGTGATGTCACTTAGCTAGGGTAATTGATTTCAGGCATCTCACAAACACTTTCAAATATGCAGATTGGCTGGAATCAGTGGAATCGTAGCGTCCTGTCTCTTTCGAGGCTG